TTCCAGCTTTTAGCATCTTGATTGCATTTAGGACTTCTGATTTCGTCGGAGTGGGGGGTCGATGTTCACTGGTAATTCTGCTTCCTTTGTTGTTGTTGTTGAGCGCGTTGTAGGTGGCGGTCGATTTAGAAGTCTTTAGAAGTATTCAGGCCAGTGTTTTCTTTGCTCCACTTATTTGGTGATTGACTTTCCATTGTCATCCCTCACTGGCTTAATCTGTGTCGAACCTTTGCCCGATAGGTGCCTAGTTGTTTGGTGGAGTATTGCGAGGCCTCCTTTGCTTGCAGTTTGTTCTGCTTCACTTGCTTTGGCTTCATAATATTTACTTTTGTCTCCCCTGGTACTCTTCTTTACTCTTTTGTTCGGCGTATTGTAGTTTATATTCAAATCCTGTTTTTGTTGCTCGTCATTGCACTGGATAATCTTTTGTTTCACTATCCTCCTCTCTTCTATTAGTTTCCAAGTGTCCATAGTGAGCCACTGTTTGTCCTGTCTCTTCTTTCTACCTAGAACTTCCATGCAGGTTTGACTCCACACCGTTTTAAAGTTATCCCAGTGCTTTTCGACGCTGACCTTTTCGCCGGTGTTGATTTGTGTCTCGGCTTTGTCCCTTATGCTTGCAATGAAGATGTCCTTTGTATCTTGGTCCATAACTAATGATAATAATAAGCAATCAGGAGGGAAAACGCAGCGTTATGGTAAAGTCTGAAAAAAATCGAAAGAGTTAATAAAGGACAAAAAGACAAATTGGTTGAAAAAAAAACAGGTCCATTATCATGAAGATAGAAGTGATTAAGGAGTTCCCTTTTGTATTCAAAGTTCTGGCTCTTCCTCCTAGTTGACTTGAGCTTCAGCAATACAAAAGAGGCGAAAGAGTATTGTGTTTGGTAAGCTGCACTTCACTTTAAAGGAAGAATTTGTTGAAATATAGTGAAAACTTCTCTATAAATGCCACTGAACAGCCATAGGAAATGAATTTACTGAGACAGCTTCTTCGCAGAAATACTTGTTGTTTTTCACTGATATTTGTTTGGTGACTGTTCATGACTTAATTCAATTTGTTTTAATTTACCATCGGCTGATGTGAATGATCAGAGATGCTGGGTCTCATTTGGCAAGTTACCTTTTACTACAGACACTTCAAAATAGTTTTAACAAATAATAACTGATACTCATTGCACCAGAGTTGGTTCTTATGATTTACTAGCTTGAAGGAAAACACTCGGCCGTTTGAAATGTTGGAAGCATGATCCGTGTTTCAATGGGGACACTGTCATATCCTGGAGACACAGGTACCTTCAGCTGATAAGTCTCAAATGGAAAGAGATGTGCCCTCTGAATCCCACTGCTAACCACTGCAACCAGTTAATATAATGTTAGCCCGAGCTGCCTAACTTCGGGCGCCTATCGCAATGGTTTGACTAAGAAAAGCATTCCGTATTGTTGGTCAGTGCTGAATACATTCACTAGTCGCTTTTTCTTAAAATACGGAGATAAGAACAGTAATTATATCATTCTCATTTCATTCAATGCTTTTCAATAACTTGGATTCTGAATATATAAGTGAATAGTTGATTTACATATATATATATATATATATATATATATATATATATATATATATATATATTCAGCTGTTTACTAAAGAAAAATGTAAGATCAGACGACCAGTCTGATAGAATTTGTAGATCTTCAATCCAAGTCAAGATTTAGTTGTTTGAAGATACTGTGGCATTCATTGGCCAAACACTATTCATTATTCCCGATAAATGGAAGACGAGACACGATTTAAGATTAAATGTGTTATTCGTAGAGCACACAATGACAGGTGATAATTCGCCTTTGTTTAGTTTAGAAATCGTTTGGATTCCCCATCATTCATATCAACTATTAGTATTTATCGTCTTGTTGCATTATCAGATTTGTTTATAGCAGTGCCCAGTATTTAGTGCTAACAGCTTTTTAAAAATAACGATGAACTGGAAATCCACATCACAACTTATCTTCTGCGTGAAAACTTCTACGTCGTCAAATTATTGCAAGGGTAACTAAATAATAAATACACAAATGTGCATATTACATGTGATAGTTGTGTGCATATACTATTACTTTATGGAAGCTTTAAACCTCCCTACGATTCCCATTGTCATTGTAGTCTTTTATCTTATCGATCTTAGTACACATTGCATCTCATAATTGATTAATTATTTTCTACGGCATCTGAATTTCTCTTACACAGTGGAGAAAATCCTTTTTTGGATGAAATTTTATCTGTGAAACTTTGGTTTTCGTGTCCTCCGTCCTCTGTTGTGAACACCTTAAATATCACTAATATTTATCTGTCTTAACATTTATAAACTGACTATTCACTTTGTTATCGTTACAATCATACTTTGTAGCAGTGGAAACTCGCCTTTTCAATCAGAGTGTTATCGATTCCACATCTGCCTTGTTTACGGAGGTTTTTCACAAGTAGTATTATCAGCAATCATCTATTAGACTTCAGTCATTGGCAGATGCATAAACTTATATGTAAATGCTTGTATAATATAATATATTCAAGGTTATTTTGCAAACTTGGATTTTTCAAACATTGAATTGCACAGTTTGCAAACACGGTCTATCTCGGTGTGCTATCTATTCCTTAAAATAGCTTTATAAATGTAGATACTAATGTCAATTTCTTGGCTTTTACTTTTTTTATTATTTATTCGTAGTAATTATTATTTTTCATGACCTAGTCAGTCCCGGTGTGATTTTATATAGGTTCTAGTCTAGTGTTACAAAATATTCATTATTCACTTGAGCTGTGGTTAGCTAGTCACTGGTGGTAGGTAATGAGGGAATGAAATCTAGGACTAGACAGAACAAGTAAGAAAACCATGGATTTCTTAAAACACTATGACGTAGACTCTTTTTTCCCCCCTATTATTGATTGATTCTCTAACATTATAACCTTTCAAAAGTTCATTCAATTCTTCCCATTAATGAACCCCTCAACAAAGGTGTGATTTCCGTTTCCCCTGTAGATGATGATATTAAGCAAGAAACTTACTGTTTCTCTATAATTTGGTACGGTTATTTATTTATTTACTGACTTAGATGCTTTCCAAGTGATATTAATTAATTTGTATTGTAAAAAAATGTAGTAACAAATATCCCTAATCCCCTAATCTTGGTTTTCATCCTTGTATGTATGGATATATCTATGAGCATGTCTTCGTCCTCTGAAATTATGAAGTGCATGCTATTTAAGTGGAACAAATTAGTATTGAGACGTACGATTCGAAATTTTGTTTTATATCAGTATAATATTGGGTGGTTAGATTTTATCTATATTCAATGATTTTATCATGTATAATTATGTCAAAACATTGGTTTGGTCGTATACCTTATAATTATATATGCTAATAAATTAGTTTTTAACAGATGCATGTAATTATTATTTTTTTGTCTTTTGGCTCATGTTACAAATGGACAACAACAATTTATGTAGAAATCAAATTTTTTAATCTTACATGAAGGTTGGTGAATTGTGGTTATATATTTAGTCAGCATTCAACAGTACATTCCGCTTTTCGTTGTACGAAATCAAGAAGTGACTTTTAAAAGTAGGACATAACAAAAGCCTTCAGGTGTTCTACCACAGATGGTTTTCACAGTCAAGTATATTTTGTGCCAATAACTAAAGTTGTTTGTTGGTATCATAGTTGACCGATAGAAGTTTCATAGAAGTTTGAAGCTCTACATACTTAATTAACAAGAGTATGCAGTGGACTTGTTGAGCAACTTTCTGACTTCACATACCGTAGAAACTGAAATTTTCCAGTGAAACATTCTTCTTTTCAGTTTTGTTTGTGTGTCCGTAAAAAGTTCTCCAAGTACTTGAATCAAATTTACAATTTGCAATTCACGCATTTTGAGGAGGTGAAATTTTATCACCGTTTCTCTTAGAGACCAACAATATTCAAATCACAATAAGTGATCTGCTTTATATCATACATAGAAACCAAGAAACACAAGAATCATTCAATAAAACCATATATTACTGATTGGTTGAGATGAACAGTTGTATACCACTCCGTATCAACTAGTAGTGATTGCTAGTCAAATCGAAGTGATCTAAACTAAACACCGGACGGGCATTTCACTCGTTTGGGATTGAGCTCATCACTTGGTATTCGAGGTTTGACTCAGCTCAGAGAGCCGAATCGGTTCTGGCTAGCTAATTAGGTGAACAACTGGTAACACCTTAAGTCTAATTATCACTTATGGTTGTGTTTCTTGATTGCCAATTACAACATCAAAAATATCACATCTCGTAATCCAAATACTTGTGGTTTCCAAAGGAGACGGTGATGAAATTTCACCCCGTCGAAGTGTGTAAACTGTTATATTTACGCCATATAATTATTACCATAACGAGAGAGATATTTCATCTTCTATATCGGCTCTCAATTAAATCTGTGTTATAAATCGACTTGTCGTATTCATCAAATAGGATTTCAGTGAAGTGAGTAATCTTATGCATGTTTGATTTCTTGTAATTTTGATGTGTTCAGAGCTTTGAGCGTTAATCTAGTCGCTATTTTTCGGCATACCTTCACAAATTATGAACGATTTCCATCGTTAATAAATCCATATCCTTTTGTTTTTGACATTCGGTATCATGAGTTCGTACCTCCTAGCAACCACTGAAAGGTCAGTGGATCAAAGTTAGGGTTTCTCAAATTATGTAAGGATTAGTTGTGTGATTGAACTATCCGTACGTTATCCAGTAAGGTTTGTAACATGCTATATAAAGTGTTACATCTAACCTACAAATCTCAGTGAATTTTCAACTTCCATTAATTTTCCAAAAAACATTCGATTGTTAACATTATTTTTCATACAATAGGCGGAGAATCCACACAAAGCATGTATGCATTGCTCTTTTATTCCTTGTTATTGATCTAATGCCTACTTCATGTCTAATACGAATGTATTTTATAATATTTTAGGTCATATCCCTTAAATCCAACACAACTAATTTTACGTGGTGCATCGCTGAAAAATACAAAATGGATCTTTGGTAAGAATTTGAGTTACTTATTCAGTAGTATTGTTATGCTTAGTATCTCTATCATTCTGTGTAATTGTCATAATAGAATGAGTGAGTAAAGATATGGAAATGATTAAGGAAGTTAGGTTGACCATAATGTTATCAAGTTGTGCAAATCACTTCACCAGTAAGCTGCAGGTTACCATGGTCTGGTCACAGTGACTTAGACTGAATATTTGCATTCATTATGGTCATTGTAAAAAATAACATGTAATATGCAATTATTCCCTGCTAAAGTATCCCAATGCGTTGTGCGTTGGTGGCACAACGGTGCAATGTCCGCCAACTACGCCCCATGTGGTCCGTGGTTCGATTCCTAGCCGATGCACTCCCTTACCTCGCTAGGCCAGTAGTAAGATTGGTAAAGCGGGAAGGCTAGACACGAGGCCAACTGCTACTGAAACTTCAAGCCTCTAGCTTAAGACCCCCTATGTTCCACTGGGAACGTAAAAGAATAAAAAAAAAGTGTCTCAGTTCCACCTTCATATTGCAATCAAAATGGACTATAAAAGGTATTCTGTGTGGTTGTATTAATTGTGACGGGAAGGGAATCAGCAGGGAGGTCGAAATCTGTGTTTCATATACCAATTCTTGCAGAAACTCATTTATTTTTTTCTCTGGATTTAAAATATATAGCTCTTTCCTTTATGCGCTTCCATTTTGTGAAACATGACGCTTTACAACTATTTGTTTCTATGGGGTAGGTAGTCCGTGAGCGTTTATAAATTACAGAAGTTAAACCGATAGCATCTATCGAATTTGGCATCCAGATAAGGTTTTCTCTTGCATACTATCGTTCACTGCGTGAAATTAAGCTTTCAAATACACAAGATAATTATTTTTATTCTGAAGCTCTTGCAGTATGTATTGTGTGCTTCATTTACAACTGAATACAAATTCTTTTCTTTTTTTTGTGATTAAGCGACTCCCCATTCCAATTTTTAAAAGTGAATAATGTACTGAAATTCACTTTTTTTCCTCTTATTACTGCGACCTTACATTCTTGGCATTAAAATATTCAACTACCTATGGAGAGTAGTCTCCATCATTCTGTTTTCAAATATTCAAGTGTGACTGATTAGTCGTCATACATTAATTATTTAATGGCACATTGTCTTATGTAATTGTATAACTAACGTATTTCGACGTTACATACTACTGAAACAAAATTGGCATGTTGTATTGCTGATTTTAATTGCTGGCATATGTTTGTAAATTCCTAGACTATTATTTTTACTATTATTATTATTGTTATTATTATTAACGCCATTTTCTATTCCTTTTATATTATAGGCTTAGCAGTGTACACTGGCAAAGAATCAAAAGTTATGCTAAATTCCACTGCAGCTCCACTTAAACGATCATCCGTTGAACGTCAAACAAATAATTATGTAAGTAAACGTTTTTAAACTATCCATCTTCTTTTTCAAAAGAATGGATACTAAACAAAGAGTACTCTTCGATAACTTCATCATCAGGCTCTACAGTTATGTATACATTATAGTGAATGAATAAATTAGTGTTATGAACAACATTAATGTTGTTGTTTAAATAACATCGAATCAATAATATTGGTAGATTACAGCTCAATAGCATCAACATAAAATAAGCTGAATGTCAGAAAAATTAGGAAAGATAATATTACAAATTCATGATTTCATAGTCTTTACTCAAGGCCAAGTCAGTAGTAGTGGCTGGACTTGCTTCTTTTGAACACAAATCACTGGTTGTTTTAGGCGAATTGCAATAGCCTCTGCTGCTTGGAGCCTGCGGTGCTTCGATAATTTCGGCAATTTATTAAGTACCCGGTAGATTGTAGAGAAGGATTCTTTCACGTTGGCTAGCTTTGTGGCCGGTTTGCACCAGACGATCCAACATCGAACTGTTAATGGTTTTAACTACACCTTTACTTAGCCGTGCTGGGATATGTTCTCGAGTGAGCACGAAAAATCAAGTTCCTAGAGCAATGGCCAATATAACTCGCTCCACCATCAGCGCAGTTGAATTGGTAGATACAATTTATTCATGCAAGTAATCATCGCATAATAATATTATATCGATATCTAAGAGTTATTCCTTTTTCACTTAGAAGAGATGTATATGTATGTTTTAAGTAGATAATGTCTGTTTGGGTAACATAATCCTAGTTACAAATCTTGCTATGTGTTTTCAAATATTGTTAATTAGCAAATGCAGTAATTTGATTCGATCAATAAAAGAGTTCATTGCATCGATATTCAACTGCTTGTAGACTCAATTTGTATTTTTACTGCATCCACCTTCCTCTAGGGATTTTTGTATCTTCTTGTTGACTTTTTTACCCTGCCTATGCCTATCCCTTAGCGCATAGAGCAAATCTTTGACTGACTTAATTTATTTGTCTAAAAGTTTTTATTGAAGTCATTGTTTTTGGAGTTCAACACGTAAAAACTATTATATTCAAAAATAGCTTCGGATGTGTTGTATCGTGGTCTGTTTGGTGTGGTGGAGATTCCATTGTCATTGTAGCTAACATCATCAGTACTAACTTCCTATGTGGTTTAATAACTAGTTCTATGGGATTAGTAGTTTGTCTAGTCATGTCTTGTAAATGTATACCTTGACCGTTTTGCTGAGTTAAACTGTCAATTTATTGTTTTTTTTTAATATCTGACGATTTAAGTACGAGTTTTAGTTAAAGGTGTTACGAAGAAGAGTTACACACTCTGAGATGTTCTGGACTCTCTTCCAGACAACTGAAATAGCTGACCAGAGTTTACGCCACCTTGATTCTACCAACAACTGCCTCTCATGGCATGTGGCCTAAGACTCTAATTCAACAAAAAAATCCCTGGAAAGTTTTTGAAGAGCTTGTTATTCAGGTCCGCTAGTGTATTGAACTTAATCCACCGAAAGTGTCAGCCAATCAAGCTGCTTAACCACTTATTGAAAAATCTGAATAGCTTACTTAATAACAGAGTTAGTGCCAATATTCTTGTTGTTTAGGATGCTAAGTCAAGTAATAGAATGAAACTATCCAGCCCAGAGAACACACTGTGTCCAGTTAATATAGCTGATTAGTGTAGATCCGAGACTAACCAATTATTCAATCAAAATCACTCGTTATTATAATTAGTTATTCTTATTCATTATCTTCATACAAGTTATTATTATTTTATTATTTAAACGCATAAGAACTTGGTACGATATGGCACCAAGAAGGATGCGCCACACAATAATAATAAAACAACATAGATCAAAAGAAAAAAAGAAAGAAGAGAAAAATATATATAAGTAGAGGACGGATAAAGAACTTCCTCTGAAAGGAAAACAGTCATGCTTAACAAGTTCAAACGGTATTCAATAACTATTATCGGGAAGGGAAGAGAGAAGGAAATTGCAACACGTGTAATAACACGCGATAAGTTTCATTGATTGTTTGTTGCTTCATTCAATTCATTGTGTTAGGGCTGATACTCCCCGAGCGCCCAGACCGAAGCAGGTGGTTTTCTTAAGGGACCACTCCCGAGCCTTTGACTTGGAGTCTAATCCACAAGGCAGCGGAGCAGCGTCAGGAGCTGCATTTCCATGGTTTCCGGTGACCCATATGGGTTCATATGCCATTTGATCCGATTGGATACTGGAGCCCATGTACCCCATGGTAACTGCTTTTAGTTTCACCGCTATCCGAACAACCTTCCTGACATGGTAGGACCTGCAGGGACAGAGTCCCAGTCAGTTTAGCATGTTGGGTCACTGAGGTATTCAAGCCCGACCACCACGAGAAGGTAGCAGTTATCGGCCGGGCTTCATACAAGTACCTTCAACTTTGTTGTTATATCAGAACAAATGTCAATAAATGGCATTAGATGGTTGGAGGCAATCGGTCACAGGAAGCCTTGGACCTAGGTTTCGTGCTAGTTGGCGCTCACCTGTCACCAAGGCGTATCTACAACCTTGAAGGAACTCATGTCCCTTCTGAGATTCGAACCCGCGTCACCCAGTGGTGCAGTCAGAGACGTTACCACTGAGCTATTCGGGTTCACGATTGACTCGTCAGAGGACTAGACGCATCACACTAGTTACTAGTGTCAAATCAAAGTATCCACTGCAGTCCTACAGGAGGTCAATCGCGAGCCCAAATAGCTCAGTGGTAACGTCTCTGACTGCACCACTGGGTGACGCGGGTTCGAATCTCAGAAGGGACATGAGTTCCTTCAAGGTTGTAGATACGCCTTGGTGACAGGTGAGTGCCAACTAGCACGAAACCTAGGTTCAAGGCTTCCTGTCGCTGATTTCCTCCAACCATCTAATACCATCAAATCAATTTGCACCGTGATGGCGAGCTACCTAGAATGGTGGCCACATTACAAGCTGACTGATAGAATTCAGTCTACACCAATGAGAGGACTAGACGCATCACACCAGTTACTAGTGTCAAATCAAAATGTTAATGGGAATTTAATGACACTTTCATTAAGTGTTTCTAGTCAACCTTAATCCTATTTGTTTAACATATCTACTTACTTACTTTCTTTTTTTTGTTCATATTTTAGATATTGATTCTTTTTGGCGTACTGCTATTTTTGACTTTATTCACATTCATTGCTAACTTAGTCTGGACATCATCGAATGAAAGTAAAATGTGGTACATGCAAGAAAGTGGTATGTGATCTTAATGTCTATTTACTTCTACTACAATACGCGTATATATTTTATTATTCTATGATTTTGAGACTATCTGAATCCTACAGATTTGAAGTTACAACAAATAATTGTGAGACGTTACACCTGGATAACAAAGAGTATTAGGTCCAGTAGCTTAAGCTCGTTTTATATTCCAGTTGATTTCCATATGAGAGTTATAAAACTGAGATTGTGAAATAATGGCGAAGACTTGTAACTCGGGTAAATGTTCTTTGGTACTGTCGTTATCTCTAAACTGATTGGTTTGATTGAGAAACTCTCTTTTTGTTTCTACATGAGATTTACCGCTTCTACTATAAAATAAAGTGAGATTTTAGAACTCCAGCAGTAAAAAGACACGACGTGCATTCACTCATTTCAGTTCATATGATCAACTTTGGGAATGTGAAGATGTTAAACAGAAGAAACACGAAAAGCTGTAGGGAATAACTTAGAACTTCCTAAACAAAGCAATTTGCGGTTGACAGACATGTGGATAGGTAGTGGTCATTTTTATCGATCTGTAAGAGCGATCAGAGGGATAAGTATCAGGTCAGCAAAACGAGTAATATCAATACAAAAAGATCACAATCCGAAGAAAGTCTCTAGAGAAAAGCATTCTCAGCCGAGGTCAGTAAACAGGATGAATATTTCACCCGTGGAAAATCACTAAATCTCACTTTATTATTTTAAAGCAAGGAGTGAAAATGTATTCTAGAAAACAAATAAGGCCTAGCAATCTAAGCATCCATCACTAAAAGTGTGGGATTATATTGCAATGTGAAGAATTAAAGCAAAAAGATTGTGTATTTTTCTTTTTTGATAAACTGCTTTAGTCGAATTCTCATTATTCCAGTTAAACTGAACATGTTTATAACACATGATTATAGATAGATCTTTAGAAAGTGGTTTTCACTCTTAAGGAGAATATAACCGATTCGCATATATGAAATATTACACAGACATCCAAAGGCCTTTGATAGTTAGTACCTAAGTTTATGACTAACGGAAAGACTATCAGTGGTGGTTTTTTGGCTTCCGTCGTTTTTAGTGGACACAGAGTGAAGAGGAAGTGAAGAGCCATCAAGTAGAGGAGTTGCATCAGTGAAAGGAAGGCAAGACAATAGAGATGAAGATGAAGACAAAGATAAGTGAGGATTAGAGAGGTTTTGTGTGCATTTCGGATTGTGAGGGCGATTGTTACTTTCCGGCTGCCCACTCCGTGGAAGTTGGTTGCGTGACCGCAGAGCCTAGGGGACAACTGCTTGAGGCCGGTCACACGCAGCCTGTTTTTGTTTGTTCTTTTTTGTTTGGTGTGTCTCAGTAGCATATTTATCACTTCTGCCCTGTGACACGGCAGTAGGAAGCGCTGTAGTTGTTAATCCGGGAACCGACCGATCCGACATGATATTTTGTGAGTTTGTTTGAATCATAGTATTGGATTGGGTAGCTGCTTTTTGTCTAATCGCTATCCAAACAACCTTTCTGGCATGGTAGGACCTCAAGAGACATAAGTCTCGGCCGGTATAGCTTGTTGGGTCATTGCGGTGTTCAAACCCGACCACCACGTCAAGGTAGCAGCTTTCGGTGGGGGACCAACGGAAAACTCAGCGAGATGTTCGAAATGAAAACAGGAGTAAGACAAGGCCGCCTATTATCACCAACGATGATATTCTTAATTGTGGTCGACTGGTTTATGTGTCGGACTGTGCACAGGGAGTGAGAAGACAGTAATACGTTGGACACCGACAAGAAGACTCCAGAAGATCTGGATTTCTCTCGTGGATGATTTATTTTTTGATGTCACTCAAACTTCGACACTTGTAGGCGTAAACCAACAAACTGACAAAAGAGGCAGACAGAGAAGACGGGGGTGATGAAGATAACTAACCAACAGCAACCACTATCAACGAGAGAGATTTGACAGAGGTTACTTCCTTCACTTATCTAAGAAGCACGGTTTCAGTCACAGTCGAAACGGATGAAGATCTCAAGCTGGTCAGAATCAGAAAGGCGGTTTGGAAATCTTCTGCACTGACTCAGCATAAAGAACAAGATTTGGATTTTCAGCACAAATGTGAAGTCACTCAGTTCTTCTATATGGCTAGGAAACGCGGCCAGCGTATCATGAAAAGGATTTCGAACAAGTTACAGACTTTTATCAACAGCTGGATTCGCTCCATACTGAATATCCCATGGCTGGCCAGAAAGAATTTGCAACAAGAAATCCTTCGGCGGGACAAACTAACCCAGAGCCTACTGCTCGACAAATATGTAGGAGAAAACGGAGATAGATAGGGCATACGTTGAGGGGGCCATCGAATGACATCTCACTCAATGCAGGCAATCGATCGAGTGCGATCCGAATGGGCAGTGACGAGTGGGTCGTCGGTGCGAGGGTAACATGGAGAAGATCGTGTGAGATGGAGGAGGAAATGAGAGATTATAGGCAATCGTGGACCCAGATGAAGAGGACAGGACCAAATACAAGAAAGTGGAGATGTGTTGTTGAAGCCTTATGTTCCCCTCGGAACCCAACGGAGTAATAATAATAATACTTTATCATCTACTCTACAGGTATTTGGAACCAATGTGATTGTTTTCACTTCGCCAACAACTATATATGTTGTTTTAAGGTTAGTAGGATTCTGACAGACAAAGATAAGCAATCAAGTGGTTGTATTTTGTATCAACTTATCAAGGTAAACGTCAACACGTGAAAAAAATAACGAAATAGATGTAATAATGAAACTCATAGAAAGCTATAACACATTAAAGTGAAGAAAGAGAGAGAATATGGAAGAAACTATGTGGATGAATATATATATCTCGCTTTATCGATCATGAATCGTACAACCGATTCCTTAAATTGTTCCCTTGTTTTTAAATTGAATCTCGCATAATAAATAGACTTTGGCTTCGAACTGGGCTAGTTTATTCGATGTTGCATTCGAAATGTCACCAATGTACAATATCATATCACTTTGTGCTATCTGAAATATCGCAATTTATCGTGGGATTCATGTTTTACCTTTTTATCAAAGTTCTATTTTTGCGACAATACACTATAGCCTTCAATATTATTAAAGACTTGTAATCTTCATGTTCGAAGACTAATCATGACCTCCAAAAAATGAATCATGGTTCACAAAATACAGCATTTTAGTGTGTGAGAAGAGTGAAGTCATTATCTTTACATTTCTCTGTACCTTCGTATTTCATTTACACTCAAAAAGGACTTTAACAGCAGTAGAACATGTTTAAAGACTGTGTAAAGGAGCTTAGTAGTATTAATACAAAGGTGATAAGCATACCAGAGCAGAATGATTAATTGACAGATAAACTCATGGAGATAGTAAACATTAAAGAATGAGGAACAATCATCGTAACATTCGCTAAGGCAACATTTAGGTAGCCCTGAATTATTTATAATTCCACAGTGTGTATAAGGTGTTACAGTGCAAATTACTGTTTGATTTCATAAAATATATTTTTCCGATGAAGGTTAACTGTAGTATCCAACTGCATTACTTGTTTGCTAAACTGTACTGCTCAGTTCTGTATTCTTCCGGAATTCAGAGTTGTACAAAATACCAACTCTTAGTATTTGCTAATGTGTTACTGGAATGAAAATGGAATATTTTTGCCGCAGATTCTTGTACATACAAATCAAGTATATTTTATTTTCACAAATCGAAGATTACTTGTCTGGATATACCATCTTGATGCCACCGATATTTTAGTAAGGCTGAAGGCAATAAAAGTTTATATATTTCCTAATAAATTGTTTTGATGGTATTAGATGGTTGGAGGCAATCGGCCACAGGAAGCCTTGGACCTAGGTTTCGTGCTAGTTGGCACTCACCTGTCACCAAGGCGTATCTGCAACCTTGAAGGAACTCATATCCCTTCTGAGATTCGAACCCGCGTCACCCAGTGGTGCAGTCAGAGACGTTACCACTGAGCTATTCGGGTTCACGATTGACTCGTCAGAGGACTAGACGCATCACACTAGTTACTAGTGTCAAATCAAAGTATCCACTGCAGTCCTACAGGAGGTCAATCGCGAGCCCAAATAGCTCAGTGGTAACGTCTCTGACTGCACCACTGGGTGACGCGGGTTCGAATCTCAGAAGGGACATGAGTTCCTTCAAGGTTGTAGATACGCCTTGGTGACAGGTGAGTGCCAACTAGCACGAAACCTAGGTCCATGGCTTCCTGTCGCTGATTTCCTCCAACCATCTAATACCATCAAATCAATTTGCACCGTGATGGCGAGCTACCTAGAATGGTGGCCACATTACAAGCTGACTGATAGAATTCAGTCTACACCAATGAGAGGACTAGACGCATCACACTAGTTACTAGTGTCAAATCAAAATAAATTGTCTTCTTAGTTTTTTACGCTGAAGAAGTCGTCAGTTTAACTGACATTTTTGGATAGTTCTATATTGGTTCTATATTCGTCGATTAGATTAACTGAGATAACCTTATTTTGTCTGACTGCTCTTTTTTTAATACGGATGATGAGTAAGTTTAGTGGTAGAATCCCAAACGTCATCTGTGCGGTAATTTGTAGCTGAAGGTCCTCTTCTCTGTATTCCACAGGATGTGTAATTAGCATAAAAATAGTTCTTCTCCTCACCATTATCTGTTCCGTATAAACTTTTGCCGTCATTATATAGACGAAAATGTAGTTATCGAAGGAATCAATCTCGGTATTAGTTTTGTATATAATCTATCATCTTCCATCCTATATCTAATTAATGATACAGGATGTTACTTTTGGTTGGGTGGCTAAATCCGTTAGACCTAAACGCAGGAAAGTAATTCGTGTTCTCTGCAAGGCGTTATTTTGAGTGTTTCTTTCCTGTCAGGTGGTAAAATGTTTTCAGCTTGTCTAAAATGTCCAGAGTTTATTTACATTCAACATCACTGGAACACGCATGGTATACTAAATTAAGTACTGTGCTTTTTTAACTGGAGGATATGGACTTCAGTATTGTTATAACTACCGCGGTTCCTGTAGTCGATTAGAATTATTAATCCTGATGTTCAGCATATTTGACTGTCAAATTCCATTTTGTTGCACTAGTGATTTCCTATCACTGATTCACCTAAACTAGGAATATATTACCCACATCATCTGAGAATCAATTTAGACCTCAACTCACAATGCAATCATCTAGACTTGACAAGCTACACTTTCTCCTCCATCCTCGTCCTGTTTCCCTCTTTGTTTGTGTTTGTATTGTGTATTTGATTTGTAGCTGGCAGTAGAACCGCTGTTCGTCGTTTACTGGACTTTATCACATGCCTGATTTTGTATAATACGATCATACCGATCAGTCTACCGGTTATGCTTGAAGTTGTACGATTTATTCAAGCATGGTATATAAATTCGGTAAGTAATTAGGATATGTTTTTTCTGCTCATTTAGGAGGTGTACTTTTATTTGTTTTCTGTATGAATTTCACTCGTACTAATCTCATTGTGCAAAATTGCTAACTACCTATCATCTTTTCATTCTGTTTGTTTCTTTCTTGCTGTGTTCATTGACTGCCAATCTTCTCGCCTACGTCTATTGATGATTATGCCGTGTGTGTACTATGTGGCCATTGTTACACATATATGTATATATGGGGATTGTTTATAACAATATCGTTGCTTATGATGTTGTTATTATTGTTGTGGTTCATTTGCCTTTCATGATGTTTTTTTATGTTCTGCTTATACACATTTTTTATTTATTCCCATGACCCCGTACTTTTTGTCTACTTGTGGGTTGTTTGAATGGTAAATCTTAATTGTTGTTTCCTTCTTTGTTACTCTTTGGTTTGTTTGTTTCACACTACTGGTTTTTATGTGTTGTGATTTAACTTATACACATATACGTGCTGCACTCACCTATCTATACTTGTGTATTCTCTGTTCATATCTTTTTAAAAATCCCTATCCTTAATTGATGTGTTTGTTTGTTACCACGGCGATGATGTCATTGGCCTCAATGCCAATGCTTTCGCTTTGCTCTTCTGAAACGCACCCATAACCCATTGTCGTCTGCATACACCTGCTAATGTTATGGCCATAATAATAATAATAATTTTTAAACACATTTCACCGACTCTAAAATTATTCAACTAGAAAACGGAGGAAAAGTTACCCTACGTTATGCCGTTAATATGTTGATAACATCATTCATCATGTATCATACAATGGTACCAATCAGTCTGCAAGTTAGCCTTGAAGTTGTAAGACTGTTTCAAGCACTGTTATTAAGTCGTGTACGTAGGTATTGTTGTTGTTGCCCTTACTCTTTTTGCTTTCCACAGTGTGTTTCCCTTCCTCATATTGTTTCCTTTTTTAGTTACCTCCACTTGTTTAGTATGAACAAAATCAAGCGAGATTTTAACATTGAGTGTGATATGATAAGTTGTGACAGGATAATGCATAATTGTGTTGTCTGTCTTTCTGTTTGCCTATTTGCATGTCCAACTATATGTGATGCGCTCAGAAGTTGTGTCGAAGTGTTTTTAGTTGATTTTAATAAAGTTATGCAGTGTAAGGTAAATTAATGTTTCAAACAGCTGAGAACTTGAATTTCGATGATAGGTTATGAATAGTTTTGCTTTCGTTTGACGTTGATGGTGAATTGACTGAAGAGAAGACTGATTCAATAATTAACTGGGTGAGGTATATAATCTAACTGTCGGCTATCTTTCATTATATCAAACAAAGCTTAATTTGAATACGATTGGTGGATGGTGGCTAGCAGTGGAATCCAGGATGCGCATTTCGTCCTATTTGGGACTCGTCATCTGGATGTACCTGCATTTCTCAGTGAGTGATGATGTTCCCACCGAGGCTCGAACCCAGTGCCCATAGTTTCAAACGCCAAAGCGTTATCCACTAGACCACTTGGGCCACGAGAGCCACCTCTTGTGCAACGGGTCATATTAATTATTTGAATAGTTCCAACAATATTTGATCATCCATCTCCACTCGTTATTATTGAAACTGTTTTGTTATTCTTTATTCTCCTTTGTCTCACACCTCTGCTCACTGTTTCTATTATGCTTTTCTTGTACTTTCTTCTCTTGCTTCGCGTGCTACACGGAATGTGGCGACTTGAACTTCCGCACATTTGTGTAAAGTTCTATGTCGAAAACAGACAGACAGACAGACTCGTTATTATTATTACTATTGTTCCCTTGGGTTCCTAGTGGAACATAGGGCTTCAACTGCACATCTCCACTTGCTTCTATCTTCCTTCTGCTGTACTTTTCACGTGCATCCATGTTAGTCAATACTCTTTCAACTCCTCTTTACACGACCTCCTCCATGTCACCCTTGCACTGACGTCCCACTCGCCGTTTCCCTTTCGGCCTGGTTCCACTCGAGCAATGGTGTGACACGCGCGTGACCTAACCGCCAAGTTTCTGATCCGTATAGAAAGAAGAACTGACCTGACGTTTGTATTGAAGACCTGCTCGTTACTCAGTACCATTTAGATTAGGATGTAAAAAAGTAGTGATGCAGTTAGGAGATGTGATTCGTTAGCTAAAACACTCGATTTCCAACCACTGGGTCCTGGGTTCGAAACCATTTCCATTTACTGGGTAGTGTCATCAACCCGTTGATAACATGTATGACTCATAACCTGTACATGCAAATTCTGTTTAGGTTAACTTTGTTCTAACAGATGAGGTAGTTAACACATCGAATCACGAACTATTCATTCGTATGACATCTGAACATACTCTTCAGTGAAGTGAAAGGATATTGGAATGTAGTCAGTAGTTATATGTCGTAACTCCGTTGCTAGAACACGTATTTGGGATATATATATATATATATATATATATATATATATATATATATATATATATATATATATCACAATAATCACAAGCACCTATTGTTACCAGTGCAAACTATTTGTATATCACGCCCTAAACCAACTTTTCCTTTTGAGATCTCTGTAATAAAAACCAATATATTCACCACTTCAATTCGTGTCACGAAAGCAAAAAGTAGTTAGAGTAGTTATAACAATAACAATGCAAATCTTGTTGTTCTGGTAACCTGATGACATCAACATAAACATAGCTCTTCAATTTTTATTTTAAACGTGTATATCCCTATTTTTCATTTCATTATTGTGAATTGATTACTGTCCATTGGCATTGGGCGCCCTTGTACAATTATCTGAGTATTACTAGTTTTACTGTAGTTTTATAGCTTCCCTTCATAAATCTTAGGTCATGTGTTCACGTATGCCTAGCCTAGCCATCTCCCTCCTCGACTATGAGCAATCTTAGCTGACATAGGATGGGTCAGGTTGGAAAGGAGTCAGTGGTGGTCAAACCAAAACATGGCCTCATCAGTCAATGAAATCCACAACAGTTAGTTTAAGCCAGCCAGTCACGTAGGAAGGTGTAGACCAGCTTCCTTGTTGGGGTCCTTGGGACGGTAAAAACCAATGGAGGCTGGAGACGATTGGTGATATGGCTGATAGTGATCGTTTTCAATGGGTGGTGCAGATGCATCCACTCCTTTCGACTTATAATACCCAATGGTATTACTATTCTTTTTGCCTCATATCTCTGTTTACTGTCTGTATTTTGCATTTTTTAAAATTATTTTCTGTTCTTGTTTTGTGTGCTACTTGGAATGAGTGTGGCGACTGGAACTGCCGCACATCGGTGCAAAGTTCTATGTTGAAATCATTCAGTCAGTCTTCATAAATTTTGGTGAAGAAAAAAAAAGAAGGTTTGCGGCACACTCAGAATTCGTTATATTTTGTCACTTTTTATTTGTGCACCTGCTAGAAGTGAATTACAGTTATTTTTTCATGTATACATGAAAGTACCATCAAGTGTCAAATCTTGAATACAATTAAATGTCTCCTCTGAATTTAAGTATACTCCGTTATCAAATAAATAACATAAGTCTTAAGATTTGTTGAAAAAAAATACCTAATAGGTTTTCCTACTTTTAGTTGTGTTCTATGCGGTGGGCGGTTTACTTGCAAAGTTTTCATTGTTCCTGCTAGATAACACCTTCAACGCATACACCTCAATTTAACTTCATTCAGCTCAGAAAACACAACTACACCAAAATCATCCACTTCTCCATACTTTGACTGAAGCACATAATATTAATTACATGTGTAAACAAATCGTTTAACCTAGCCTGATATTTCTACATTATAACAAAAAAAGGAAGGACAGGTTCTAGTGAATTAACTTTCATGTTTTGACGGTGTATAAGAGTGTAAATCAGCGTAAATAACTACAAGTTTGTTTTTATACACATCTGGTCTTGTTCCTATAATGCAAATTGAGTTAATAAATTATGAAGTTTTGAATAGAAAATTTAACTACTTGATTTCTTTTAGACGCATATAAACAGAGCAGAAAGAAGTGGAAATTTCCTGAAATGCCTTATTTGTTTTGTATTACAATTCATTGTGCACAACATATGAATTAGAATTTAGCAATAATAATAGGGATTATAATGTTATATGGTTTTAAATGTTTACTATCCCTTAGTGAAATGTAGAAAGAATTAAAATGCAAAAAGTTTAGACCAAATCTCTAGAGACTATAGATTAATCCAAGTTTCTAGTTTATGAATTAGGACTTGAATAAATCTCATCAGGGATTATTGTTATGTACTGGTCGAGAATTTAATAGTCCTGAAGCAAGAAAGACGGAAATCAGAAGACCACTAGGTTTGCGATGATACTTCTATTTTCCAAACACAAGGAGAATCAAAATATCACACAAGAGTGTGAGAGCAAAAAAATATATGAATGTCCGAACAAGTGTGTGAGCGAATATTCAAAATGAACAAATCAATAGACAGTCTTAACATGGTTGGCTAATTATAATGGAATATCGATCCATATATACATAGCAAAATATATCAGACTGTCAAACAAACACACATATTATATGGATACATATCACCAAGATCAGACTGTCAAACAAAACACACATTATATGGATATATATCACCAGGAACAGACTGTCTAACAAAACACACATATTATATGGATACATATCAATTATAACATAAAATAAGTTGAGAAACTTAAATAAAATTAGCCAGTTTTCAATGATTGTTTAAAGAATCATTGGGGAGATTATGTGCAATCATTAATTTTAGGAGAGCAAGTTTTGTGATGATCAAAAAAAATTTACCTTGATCGAATTATGTAAATCAGAAAATATGTTGTCGGATTATACTAGTTTCTAGACAGTAAAATTATTTAATATTGGTGGTGAACTCACCACAGTAAACAAACTTTTCTTCATCTCTGAAGTGTACCGAATAACTTGACTTCTGCTGCTGCAGAACGCCTATACAAAGCCGGTAACCTCACCGTATCAACGACTA